GGAAAAAAAAAAAAAGAAAAAGAGAAAACTGAGGTGGCTTAATGTTGCTGTATTTCAGCAATTGAATGTTTTTTTATTTATCTGTGTCATTTTTGGTGTGAAATTCTTTTTGGTTAGTATTTAGTACCATGTAGTGTTATCTCTGCTCCCTAAAGGATGTGTATAAGTTTAAAAAAAATTAAAAAAGGAAAAGAAAAAAGGAAAAGAAAAAAAATGAAAAAAAGATGTAAAGTGATGTAAATAAGATGGTTGATGATGGTACAATAAGTCTGACCCCATTTTGTATTCAGGGTTAGGTCATTCCTCTCTGCATGGTGAAGAGAGACACTATTTTTATACTGTGATACCATGTAGGGCTAGGAGCCTCCCTGAACCAGCTGGGAATTGTTACCTAGATCCAATATTTTTTATTATTAAATCTTGTTGGCTTGACACATCTACTGATTGAAATGGATGTCTTAGTCTAGGTTACTATTTTTGTCATATGGAATTGAATAAAATGCAGGATGTAATATTATTTCTGAATTGCGTTCCTTGATTATTCTAATAACAGAGCAAGATATGAGACTAAGGTTACTTGTGGTAGATTAGTGTCAATGACTTTTAATCATCACACCCGAAAATCAGAATAAGGTTGACACCTTGTATTCAAATCTTATTCTAATAATATATTAATGGTCCAAATGGGTAGAAATATTAAAGTCTCTTTTCAATTAAAAAACAAATAATTAAACTTCTAAGAGCACATGTCACAAGACAGTAGAAAAAAAAAAACATTTTGGAGGGGGAAAAGCAGCCTCTGGAAGTACTATTATGTCTAACGGCCTGCAGTCTCAACGCTTCTCCTACACAGCGCATATGAAAAAGGAAAGATTCCTTCTCAAGCATCTGCATCAATTTCATGTTACACTGCATGATAAGATTTGGAAACAAATTTATCAGGTGTAATTCAAATTCTAAAATACCAAGAGGAAAAATAAAAAGTGACAACTCACATCCGTTCATTCAAAATGATATATTCTGTACTTTAAAATCCAATTTGTGTTTTGAGGGGTGTTGTGGGCTCCTTTCCTGTTTGGCCCTGGTTTATCAAAGCATGTCTAACTTTAAGCAAATTATTTTTTCACGCTGATTCAAATGAGAGTATTTACRTTCTTAAGGTTAGGCATGTGATGAAATGTCTCCTGCAAAAAAAGCTGTATGTTTGACTCACCTTCAAGCTGTTATAATCCGGTGATGAATGCCCACTGCTTTTTAAAATGAACAAAATATAAATAAAAGAAAAATCTGTACTAATCATCCTTCTGTGGCCTTGTTACGAAGACACTCTGCTTTATAAGACCTGCCCAAAGAAGGTACGAGTTTCCCCTGGTGACTCAGCCACAATCCTAGRTTCGCACTTGTGCTCCTGTCCATGCACGTTCATCCCCGAGCCTTGCTGCGAGCCAGTGCCATGTGCAAAAAAGAAGTGAAGCAAAAAAGCACTCATAGTTCTGATTCTGCAAGAGGTAAACTACCTTTATTCGCCTTTTCCCTTCAAAAAGGATGAAAGCAGGAGTGGTATCTATTTTTAAATATATATGGGCTATTTTTGTTATTAGAGGAAAACTTTAAATAAAATGTGTTACCTAGATCAGAGGCCGAGGAATTAGAGATGTTTAAAATTAGAACCGTGTAGGATCACTATAATTGGAATAACTTCAGGGTTTTTTTTTGGGGGGGGGGGGGGGTTGTTTTAAAATGTGAAACCTTTCACATTATTTTTCCACGAGTTGCTAGGAAGAAGGCATTTTTGACAAATGATTGATATGAACCACTTTTTGCTTTTTTTTTCCTTTTGTATAAACTAGCCTTTGATGCAATATCTATTCCCTAACCAATTTTGTCTGTCCTTTTTTTTTGGCAAATATTTGTTTTTCTAAAGCCCCATTTGTGCTGCATTTGCCTTGCCTTTGTACTTCTCTACATGTTCTCTATCATTCAGAAGATCCTGTGTTTTATTTTTTTTTCCTTTTYTTTTTTTTCTCTAATTCTGCAGAAGTCAAAAGAGCTGCCTGTTATTTACATCTGTGTGTAACACTAGCGTAATGAATGATGAAGTCGTCAGTGATATAATCAGGTATGTGCCTCGCTCACAGGAGCTGCTAACAAACATGCCGTTCACACGCTTTCCGGTAGATGAAGGCATGAGGTTTGTTAGTTTGCTGCTGCAGAGCAGCCACAGGCGGTCAGGGAGGCAGAGATCCTGATTATAATTTCACTCCACCTGCTWTTATACCACTGGAAACTCCATGGGCTTCACTGGAATGTCCCAGATTTGTTCTGGTGCAAGAAGGGGGCTTCCAGGTTCAGCTGTCTTGTTTTACTTTCAGATGTCATCTAAAATGGCTAGCTATATAGTGTGTTAAAACAATGTCTAGGCAAAAGCATTCTGGACTTTATTTTTAACATGAAAGGGAAAGAATAATACACATATTTTAGTATGCAACACAAGATTTTCCCTGTTTGAAAGGAGGTCCTATTTTGAACTTGAAAAAAAAATGACTGTGTCCCTTAATTTAGAATCTGATACCAAAACAACATCAGAAGAGTAATCAGTCCCTTTTCATCTAAATGGATAGAAGAAACTGTAATTTTTATATATAAACATATTAAAAAGTGGAAATATACTGTGATCCTGCTACCCAAGCCAGACAATAACAGGCAAATACTCTTACTTTACAGATATGAAGGATATCAGCAGATTTATTAGACAAAAAAATACCTTAGTGCATGTTACAGCACTATTATTTTATTTTTCTAGAAGGCAGAATGGCTCAGCTGACTGAGTGATAAATTTGAAAGCCAAAAGCTTCAGGCTCTGCCAGTGACAGATTTTAGGGATGTGGACAAGTTACTAATTGGACTCTGATTCTCCGCGAGAACTAAATACTTTTGGGGCCTCTGGGAATGAGGGAGTGAATTCCCCTGGCAAAGTCAACTAGCACCTTGTAGTATTGGGATGAATTACCCCATCAGGAAAGAAGGGGTAATACTTTTGGACCTACCTCACAGGGGTGTTGTGAGGAATAGTTTTATGTTTGTACAGTGTTTCAAAAATGGAAAATGCTTGGTATTATTGCTGATTTTAGAGAGTTTACAGTACACGTACTATTATTTATTATTTGTACTCCATAGTACCCATGGGCTCCAGTCAGGACTGAGAGTCCTTATGCTAAATGTTGTACACTCATGTAGTTGGGACTGATACAAAATTTTACTCAGTAACATTTTCCAATGGAATTATTTCATTATCAAGCATCTACTTGATTACTATAGTGTGTTTCACCCAATTACTTAGGTGTTTAAATTGATTATCAATTTTAGAGAGAATTATCTGTTATCACGTTTTGTTTTGAGCTTATATTGATTATCAGAAAAAGTGCACCAATTTTCTATGGATAATCTAGAATCAAATCTTGCTATCAGTGGAATTCTACTGTACTTTTTGCTATTAAAGCTAAACATTAAAATAATTGTGTGTGTGTATATATTATTATACACAAATATGTAATATACATATACCTATAAACATATATACATTTAAAATGTCTTTAGCTACTGAAATTAATTTCAAAATGAAACTTCCATATTTTAATCAAGCATTATCTGTTTCAGCTGCAATTAAAACATTGCTAAATGATGTTGGCCCCCAGTAAAGATACATAAACTGGAAATCGTGACACAAYCCACTATGATTATATTCGTTTAGGCTTATGAGGAAAATTTCTAAGTCAGAAACATGTTAAAAGTCTTTACCAAGCCATAGGAATCATTACTTAGGTTATATTGAAAAGAGCTATTATTTCAGGATGAGTGACTCCTTGTACACAGGAACRTTAAGATAAATAATTAAATATTTCCACATGTAATCCTTGCTTTCATTTGGCTATTGATCAGAAAGCAATGTACCCCGGACTAGCAGACTCTATGTAATGTTTTTGTATAGAGAGTACAACTGATTTCCAATGTTATGTTAAGCAACCTGTTAAGCAAATGAACATGAACTAAACATATTAGCCCAGTTAATTCTATTGATACTTTTTTTTTTCTCTTTAATTTTGAAGAAAACTTTCGGTTTTAGGTTTCTTTAAGGTGCCCTCAGKGATGTTAGTCCCATTGATTTCACTCAAGTGTGTCAAGGATTGAATGGTATGAGTCACGATGGTTGAATCTCTTCTAAAGATTCTCTCCTTCTTCTTGGGAAATTTTCGGTAACTTTCCATGTCCACCAGCAAGTCTGTACTTCACTGCCATCCTTGGTGTGGATTAGCACCTGGGACTCAGTTGTGCTAATCAGTTGGTACCTACAATGCTACAAAATGACTTTTGTAGAGATAGAAGCAGCCTGATGATTAAGGGAGTAACCGAGCACCTTTGCAGGAGTTTCTGTGCTACAACCTGTTGTGCGCA